GGGCTCAAGAGCCCACACCGCGGCCGCGCGGGCGGCCGGCCCCGGCCCACCGCCCGCCCCCCCCCCCCCCCCCCCCCACAATTTTTTTCCTTGGCGTTGCCGCTATTGATGCCCACATTGTGCAGCTCACCAAGAGCTGGGCGCAAGGGAACGCTGTCTTGATCGGCGATGCCTGCCACCCCATGATGCCCAACCTTGGGCAGGGCGGCTGCCAGGCCATGGAGGACGGCTACATTCTCACGAACATGCTCAAGGACGTGAGTGCGTCCGTCAATCAAGTTTGTAGTGTTGCGGGGATCAACCGTCGAGATACTCAAGTTTGTTTGTAGGTGAAGAGTCGTGGGCTTTCTCTGGTGCCAACTGCTGTCTGTTCCCTCTCAGGAGCGAGGAACCAAGCTCGCCGAAAACACACGTTACCTGTCGATGTTGTAAGGTTGTACAGGTACAGATTTGTAAGATACTTTGGAAGTATATTTTAGTTGGTTGAGGTTCGCTGGGCTCTTCGAGTCAATGACACGTGAGCTGTGTGGGATGTTCAGCTTTTGGAACTCGCTGCTTGCTGTGGGCTGACCCTGCCTGCTTTCATTGTCGTCTGTCACCAACCCTTGGTTGACACTGCTGTGCGCGCTCATGATGAGCCCACTCAGGATGGATCACGCGTTTTTTGTTCATTTTTTTTTTTTCGGAAATATGCACTCAACCAACAACAGAGAAGACTTCTTCCCCGTTTCGAGATAATGTACCTACAATACCAGAGCAGCAGTCGGTGCTTCCATCTCGTTCGGTTTGGCACCATTTTTTGCCGTTCGTTGTGTTGCTAACGGTCGCCGCCGCCACGCACGGCCTCTCAAAAAGAAAGGAAATTTTTCACGGAAAAAACGCCAGGCAGGGGGCGCGCAGACCCTATAACCCTAACCGTAAACCAACGTAGCCGATTCAGTACTTCATCCGACACGTTTGCTTACTCGACCCTCACCCCAATTTAGCCGATTCTTTTCCAGTATGTTTCCTTACTTGACCAACCCCAACTTGCCGATTCAATACTTTATCCAGTATGTTTGCTTACTCAGCCCTAGCCCCAACTAAGCCGATTCTATTCTTTATCCAGTATGTTTTCTTGCTCAACCCTAACCCCAACTCAGCCGATTCCATACTTTATCCAGTATGCTTTCTTGCTCAACCCTAACCCCAACTAAGCCGATTCTATTCTTTATCCAGTATGTTTTCTTACTCAGCCCTAGCCCCAACTAAGCCGATTCTATTCTTTATCCAGTATGTTTTCTTGCTCAACCCTAACCCCAACTAAGCCGATTCTATTCTTTATCCAGTATGTTTTCTTACTCAGCCCTAGCCCCAACTAAGCCGATTCTATTCTTTATCCAGTATGTTTTCTTGCTCAACCCTAGCCCCAACTAAGCCGATTCTATTCTTTATCCAGTATGTTTTCTTGCTCAACCCTAGCCCCAACTAAGCCGATTCTATTCTTTATCCAGTATGCTTTCTTGCTCAACCCTAACCCCAACTCAGCCGATTCCATACTTTATCCAGTATGTTTTCTTGCTCAACCCTAACCGTCATCGTGTTCATTTTTCAACCAGGTGACCCACCGTTCTCAGATCCCGGAGACGCTTGAGTCGTTCTACCGATCCCGGATTATCCGGACGTCGGTGGTACAGGGGCTAAGCCGCATCGCCAGCGACCTCATCGTCAAGAACTTCGACACCCCCATGAAGGTGAGAGAGAATGCAAGGGCTACAGCAGTAGGAACGTAGGTGGCGTGAGATGGCACACCCCCTGGACCGATCTTCGATTGCGTAAAGATGGGAACGCATCGCGAGTGATCTATCTCATCGTCAATAACTTCGTCCATGAAGGTGAGAGATGGATAGACCAGGGCTACGCACCGGACTTGACGCAAGGTAGCACCCCTCCCCCTGGACCGATCTTCAAAGCTCGATTGCAAAAGCGATCAATGCAAGTACCGCGGAAGGAAGGCGGAAAATACGACTACAATAACTCCTGTGTGGCCTTCATCCTTCGTGCGAATTTTGTTACCCCGGCTGGTGCGTTAACACCGTTCATCTGCCACCACATCACACCCGCCGCGCGTACTCGTGTGCGGCTCAACATCCAGCTTATTTTCGAAGCGACGTCGACGTGAATTTCTCTAAATAGCTGTTCTCGTGCCTCGAAAACTCACTATCCCACCGTCCAGCATGGACTCACCGGCAGGAATCAACTCCGAAAGCTCACCGTCCCGTCCCGTCATACCTTCCCGTCATACCGTCCCGTCCCGTGTATGTTTCCCCAGGCGACCTTGTCACCGTTCAATATGAACTCACCGGCAGGAATCAACTCCGAAAACTCACCGTCCCGTCCCGTCATACCGTCCCGTCGTACCGTCCCGTCCCGTGTGTGTTTCCCCAGGTGACCTTGTCACCGTTCAACATGGACGCGCCGGGGGGAATCAACTCGTTCATGACCAGCGTGATGAAGCCGGTCCTGCCCTTGATCTTCTTCGCGCAGTTCATGTACCTCTACAGGTGCCCGCCCGATGCTTGTCGCGCCTTTGTGGTTGGTGTACAACGTGGTGCTTGCATCATCACGCCTGTTCGAGATGCTTGGAATCTCTTAACATGATCCTAGATTCGGCAGGGGCGTACTCATGTAAACGCATGCCGTAGTCGTTAGACCCTTGACCTCGCATCCCTACAATGCCGGGACGGAGCGATATACCGGGTTTTCGCCGGCCTAGGCTACGTACGCTTCACAGGATATGAACCAGAATAGCTGGACATCACCCTTGCGTTCCAAACCGGGGGGGGATGAAGCAACCGGACCGCCTACGCAGGATTTTAAGAGTATTTAGAAAAATAATAGGGAGGGGGCACGCAGACCCTAACCCTAACCCTAACCCTAACCCCAAAGCACGGATTGAATACGTTATCCCATATGTTTGCTTAATCAATTTTGCTGCGGCGTAGACTACTGGGACCACTGAAGCCAGCCCAGTGATAAGACACGTCGGTATCGAGTTGACGTGCGCGGTGCCGTTTTAGTCTGGCCAGTAGTCTCGGTCTCAGTCTGCTGTTTGGCGGGCTTTTGTCGAGGGTCAGGACAAGGAGCGACCTGGACACGCGTTTACCAGAACATAAGCACGACTTGAAGTCGACTTTACGACCCCGTATCCTTGCTCCGTCCTCTCGAGGACGCTCGGTCAATGGTCTATTCGCTAAAAGGCATGCAGATCATGAGTACGCCGCGTCCCCGTAAGCTACCCATGGTGATGTGCTGCTGTAAGCGTGGTCCTGTCAGAAACCCGGCATATCGCTCCGTCCCGCGTTGTAAGGATGCGCTGTCAATGGTCGTAACGACAAGGCACGCACGACTATGATTACACCCCCCCCCCCAAAGGTTGTATGCTTACGACAAGAAATAGGTGTACCAATATTCAATATCACCGAAGGTTTTTAAGTTTACGACGACCACAAGTAGGTGTATTCAACATCACCGGAACGTTTCATGTTTACGAGAAGAAATAGGTGTTCTACTACTATACTGCTGTATCGGGCGAGG